GAGAAAAAGTGAAGAAGATTCAGATCCCAATAGAGAGATGTGAGGGGCTTTTGTCTGATTGGTTGGATCTTTAAGAAAATCTTTCTTTTTCAATTCGAGAGATCGTTTTCTGCACGAACAATATGGAATTTATATTTGGGCATTTAGCGGTAGCGCGTGGGCGCGTGAAACTTCTGTACTGTGCCAGCTTTTTTTCACTTTCATTTCCTTTATTAGAGTAATTAAAAATAGTTTTTCTTTTTTTTTGTCATAAAAATAGTTTTTTTCTTTTTATTTCAATAAGATTCCAAATTTTTGGTCAAACTTAAATATTTTCAGAACTTATGACATTTTTGATAAAGAATACTTTAATTAGAGTTTATTACATTGTAAATTTGTTACAGCCTTACAGATGTTATCTACTGAGTTGTGACATTAGGGAATTACAAAATTTTTTCCACAGGGAAATTACAAACTAATATTTTTATAAAGTTTGTTTAATATTAAGAAATTTTTTTCTATAATAAATTTTATGTAATTTGATGAATACTATAAAATAACAGCTTTAAAACAAAAATAAATAATGAAAAACCAATACTCTGATTTTATATAATCTTTTCACAATGACATTGATTTACAGAATCTCTATACGTGCCGTTACATATATTTTGTTTAAAACTTTACAATGCTAAAAAAAAGATATCTTTACAGATTGTTCAGTTATTTGTGTGTGTTTTAATTAGTTTTTAGAAATTTTAAAATATATTAATTTGTTAAAACAAGAACAAATGGATAAAAAGGAAAATCAAGTAACATTACATATATTTTGAGAGATATATTGTCTTTTTTTTTCAATCAAAGAAATCAATTATGTCTATAAACGTATATGCTAGAAGAAAAAGAAGAAGATATATATCTTAAGTTAATAGATAAGATTTTCTATATCTTTTTATAAGTTCTAAAATAATTTTTTTATTTGTTAATTTTCTTCTTTTTCAAAACTAGAATTTATTAATCATTTAAATTTTTTTTTTTTTGCCACTAATAATATATTTGATGGAAAAATTATTTAAGAGATATACCATATAATGAAAAAGATGATCAAACCGACCTTTATACTCTTTTGATCAATGATGTTGAATATAGGTCTATATTTATCCTCAAGATTGGTTAGGTCTATGCATATCTCTTTCTTTACTTCTTTTAACTCTCCATGGAAAAAAATGGAAAAAATCTATAGTAATTTCTGATCTTGATAAACTAATCTAACTACTCTACCAAGAGAGTGCAATAACTTTCCGGCACGTTTTCATGTCATCCCAAAAGTCCATATTTGTTGTTGTTGTATGATAGGTTACGAGTCCTACAAAATACTTTGCCCATTTACAATGTCTCCAATCATTACTACCAAACATCATCTTTAAGTCTTGCTTCTCCACTAAACTTTGCATAGGAAAAAAAACCGATGCAAATCTAGTTACTTCATTTCATGGACAAAGTCTTGTGGTGAGCATAAATGAAAATGGTAAATGTCTTAGTCTTAGCCATGTCAATCGTTTTCTCAAACAAAGAAAATTTGGCAATGCCTTCCACCATCAAATTTATTGTATTAGTTACACAAGATGTACAAAATATGGTTGGTCTCACCTCCTTTAATAATTTTGTATCAGCCTTGTTATTGTTCGTTACCACTTGATTCATATATTTCCACCACGATTGTCTAAAACATGAGCAAAAAGAGATAATTTCCTCCCGATTGTTTAATCTTATTCTGAACAAAAAGAAATGATATTACAGAGAGTAGTGGAAAACTAATCAATCAAGAAAAATGTCCATTTGTTTATTGATGAGAACAAAAACTATGACCGTTGACTACGAAAATAAAAAGAAAATTCAACGTAAGTAGGCTACCGATTCTTGGTAATAAATAGAGCACTAGCTAACTAACATGCTTCCCAAAACATTTTCAAACAAAAACAAATCAATTTACAGTGAAAAACATGACTAGTTCCGATCATTCTCCGTCGCACAACGTCTTCGTGTACGGCAGTTTTCAAGAACCAGCCATCGTTGGTCTGATCCTCGAATGCACTCCGGTCATAGTCTCCGCCCAACTTCACGGCTTGTACATCTTTCTTCACATCTTTGTCCTTCCTTTTGTTTAAGATTTCGTGGAGATCAATTAAACCGATTTCTCGGTTTTTTTCACAGTCATAGGTACAGACTCAAAGGACGTTTGCATCCATGTATCGCCCCTTCTGAGACCGGAGTTATTAACGGCAAGGTTTGAACTCACAAAAAAGAGAACTTTGTAAAATTTGAATATTTTCTCTGTTTTATTTCAATTCTTGATCTCAAAACCTGAAAAATGAGTTTGGTGTTCGCGCAGGTATTAACTGGATTAACAGATTCTCAGCTACAGAATTTAGACATGATTGAAGGAGCTGAATATGAGAGGAAGACTGTTGAGGTTGTATTAACTGTAAGTTCCACTTCATCCTCTTTTTTTTTGCTACTCAAAACGGTTTAGAAATCCAACACGGTGGTATAGAGTTTACATAAATTGTGTCAATGCGGATATAGTCAAGCACTTTGTAACTTGTCCGCCTTTGTATTACAAAAGCGTGATAGAGAACAAAGTGAAAAACTCCTTACTCCTCGTGAATTGCTTGAAGCTTGAAACGTTTAATATCCAATGATGCAGGACACATCCCAGAAGATGCAAGTGGAAGCCTTTATATGGGCTAACAAGGATGATCCTGACATGTATGGAGAATGGGATTTCGAGGTTAGAACCATTTGCTCACAAGTTTCCTAGCTTCTTGATCATCAGAAACTGATTATAAGCCTTTGTAAGTTGTGTTGTTTAATGGTTTTGGCGAAACATGTGTTGATTTGATTTGGTAGGAATGGAAACGACTCCATATGGAGAAATTCATTGAGGCGTCAAAGAAATTTATCGAATGGAAGAAGAATCCGGATGGGAGAGGAAGGGAAGAGTTTGAGAAATTTGTACAAGAAGATCCTCCCGTAGCCTAGCCTGAAGAATTTATCTACACCTTCTATCTATAGTCACTCTCTTTATCTATCTTCTGCTGCAAATAAAAGAAGGGTCTCACTTCAAAGTCGATAAAAAGGCTTTTTGAGTTGGGAATCATAAAGAAGATGTTGTATCTAATATTATTTGCAAGTGTTGTTTTCAATTAGTAATGTCTTTGAGAAAGAAAAAGAAGTATTATGTGTTTGGTGCACTTTGTTGAATGTTTAGGACATTTCATTTATTATACTAAAACGTTATAAAGCTTATAAACAATTATGTATATCAATAATCATAAGGACTGAAATATAATCATAAGAACTTATAGATCACATGTTCATCATTTCTGCCTGCAATTTGGGGCTTAAAGGAGTTTAAAACCTGGAACAGAGCATGTACACTCAAGAAATCCTTCTTAGTAGTACCCCTGAACCTAGATCTTAAAAACAAAGCAAAATCTCGAAACTAACTAGCTAATAAACTGCTAAATATAACAAACATTGCGTACCCCTGAATTCGACAGAGATTTTGGAATGGCTTACTTGTAGATTCTGGACAGATAACAGGTCCTCTTATGGCAATCTGCATCACTTTCTGTCTATTCTATTCCACTCTTGAAAGTCTTTGGTCTGATGGTTCTTGGAGATTTTGACCATCTTTTGGAGTTTGAAGTCTTCTTGAAGAGAAAAGCTTATTGTAGATTCTCATTACTGATCTTGTGTGTCCAGCACATGTGTTGTTAGCAACCTAACAGGAGAATTACAAAGAGCAGTACCAGTCATGTCCATGAATGAGAGCATACACAGCAAAAAATTTAAACATGAAACCGTAAACTGCCTCAAGCAGTAATCACAAGAAAGGAAAAATATAAAAAGTTCTCACAGATGCTTCCAAGTGAAGATGGCTATTCTACATATCACACCTTCTCTTGAGGATTAACTGCTCTAAGAAAGCATATCAAGAAAGCTTTTGTCCAATCTCCCATCATGCAACATATTAGTGACCAAGCCAAAGGTTGAAGCATCTCCACAGAATCCGAAACCCCTCATTTCTTTGATGAGTTTAACCGATGCTGCT